ATGAAAGAAATACAATTGCAGAAATCTAAACCACCAAAAAAAACAGCTTTTGTTTTTTACTACGGTTGTCAAACAGACTTTAGAGAAGACAGTATTCTTCTCCTCTTCAGAGGTATCATCTTCCTATGTTAAAATATGCACAAGAGATTAATAACCTCATACCAGCCAGGCTGTTCTACTGACTTTCTGCAGCCAAACCACAAGTGCCATAGAAGCCTGTAAAGTTTGAATTTATTCTGTTTTGCTGCTAAGCCTTGAAAGGAGTGCTGGACAGCCATACTGTTCCACACTTTCATTTACTATCAATGCTTTTTGTGGAGGAAAAATTCCTAATGACTGTACAGACTGATTCTCAATTAGACACAAAGAGTGATACAAGCAAGCAATGCTACGAACATCCTGAATGAGAGCAAATACCACCATGAAATTCAGGAGGATACATAGCAGAGCAATGCAGATTTAGATCCTACAACATGCATCATGGAGAAGATACATAATTTAAAAAGACCCAAATTTTGAGAAAATATGTTGAGGAAAAATTGAAGGTACAGAAAAAAGTTGAAACTGTAAATAGAGACAAGGGAAAAGGTTTTTAATCTGAAATGTAATAAAATTCATTGAATATTCATTTGACTAGTGAAGGAAAACAGCATATCCAAAACCCTAAATAATCATGAAAAGAATTATTTGGGCTTCCTACCCTTTTGTGTTACCAAATGAGAATGAAATTAAGAAAATAGGAAGGACATAAAAATCTTGCATGAAAATAGTAAGGACATTTTTAACCTTCACAAATTTCATCATAGAGTCAATTTTTATACCTTATAATTTCCTTCTATTATTTTGTAAAGGCAAGAAAAAACAAAACAAAAAGCAAAAGCATGTTACAAAATTACAAATGAAGGTGTTTCACAAGATAGCTTTCTTTTTTTTTTTTCCAAAATTCTAAAACCAGTTGTGTTAGACAGCCTAAAATGTTATCCCCACTTGAGGAGATAAAAGAGGAAAAAAAGGTACAAAAAATGTACAAAGTTTTTCTTATTTCCTAATGAAAAATATTGTATTACTGATGATAGCTGCAGAGGATAAAAATGGAAAGTTCTACTAAATCAATCAATTCACTACTACCATCCTTGATCATTTTAGTGCTTCTTCCAGATTAATTTTCATTAATCCAATTTTAAAATCACCAGAAGTTAATGTAAAAGTGATATTTGCATATAGAAATTTCACCTGGTTTCTCACAGAATGCAAATTTCTACTTCTGGGAAACTATTTTCTACTTGTAAAGTGTGAATAGTTTATTTTCAGAGTTCCAGCTTAAATCTCTTGCTACAGTAATCTCTTAGTGTCCTAGTAGAATTTCATAGCAACACAAATAGTCTTGAGATTTTTTTTGACCCATACAAGTCTAAGGACTGTTGCTTTTGTAATTTTTAAAATAATCCCTCAGAGAGTTTCCAGTGTGATTTATTTAGAATGCATTCATCAGTGAGTTCAACCATTATCCAGATATACCACGAAACAAAATGCATGAAATGAGAAGGAAAAATAGCTTTGCACTCCTTTTCAACTTCATTCATCTTTGTAATATATTTTTTCTCTCCCTGCAATGTTTTTTTCGTTAGGACTCTTCCCTAACCATTACCACTGCATTTTATTTCCTTCTTCCTTGCCTGCTTCAGCCTTTTATTATTTTATTGTTGTGCTAGGTGGACAAAAGTTTTCTTTTCAGTATAGAATTGATTGCTTCCCACAGAAGTGTCAGAAATCAGCAGAGTTGAAAAGATAAACATCCACAGCCAGTGTTTCTCCAGATAGAAACAGGAAGTGACAATATTTCCAACAATAATTATTCATGTCCATCTTGATGTAAATGCTGCTGACATAGGCAATAGAATTTATTAAAAAAAATAATTTAGGAGAACAGAACAATCTCTGACATGGAAGTCTCAGCAAAAGCCATGGAAGTTGTCAGTTCCTCTGTTTTATTCAGTCTGTTAAGACCTTGATGATTGTTTCTTTAGGCATTTGCTTTCTAGGAATCTTAGAGCATTGCTACTTATTGTCTTTTTTTTTTTATGTGTAGTTTTATACAATTTGCAATCATTTTATAGTCTGAATTTTCAAAGATGTTGATATTTATTCTCCAAGTCCTTTGAATTTGATGAAATTCTTGATTTTGATCTTTTTTCATCACGAAGAAATGTATGGTCCAACAAGGACAAAAGAAAAAAGAGTGTTTCAATGTGGAAGATAGTTAATTAACTCATGGCAGGTGATCAACAACCCTAATCTTATATACAATATTAAAAACCCATAAATTATTTATGAAACTACCTTGCTGTGTCAAATAGGAACCAGCTGATAAAAAGTTAGTGAACTTAAACACCTAATACCCAAATCTGCAGAGGCTTTGCTTAGTAACACACCACTGACCTGTCTTCTGTCTCACTGACCACTGGAATTCACTCCCAAGACAGACTGGACAGGCAGGTGCCTCAGGAAGACAGTTTCAGAAGATGGTAATTGAACAGCCAGGCAGAAATGGAAAGCCAAGGAGGACAAGGAAAAGGAAAACCTGCTTGATATCATGTGGGTACTGACAAAACCAGAAATCTGTTTTCCACCTCCTTTCTCAGACAACTAACTGTTCTTTTGAGGAGTTAAATGAGCAAATTAAATCAAATTGAATTACATCTTATGGAATTAAATTACTTATAGGGGTTGGATTAATTCTGTGGTCCACTAACTCCCATCCTGTTTTACCAGATTCTCTCAACTCAGTTATTTCATCTTTCTGTTTTTTATACATTCCTTCCTTTATTCCTTTAACCTCACCTGTAGAATCCCTTCTTAAATAATACACATATACAGACAATACAGACATAGCATTCCAAGCATGCATAGCATTCCAAGATGTAGTTTCTCTTTTTAATCTTTTTTTGTAATTTATTTGCATTTAACTGAGCTACTGTGAAAGGAACAGAAGTACTTTTTCAAGTCAAGAGAGATCAAAATTTTTTACTAAAATAAAATAAATTTGCAGTTTATATTTTAAATTTCATGAAAATACAATCCATGCAAAACCATCTTTTCCAAACTAGGATATTAATCATATATTGATATGGTATGGTAGCAGAGGATCAAAGAAATCAAGGAATCTTTCACTGTGCAAGCCATTTCAAGTAGATTGAAAAAAGCCTCAGAGACTACTAGACATGAACCTCTAATGAGTGGCATTTAAATGACTTAACAGAGAATTCCCTTACATGTTCTGTGTGGGAAACTGTTCCAGAGCTGAAAGCCCAGATTATATAGTACATACACTGCAAAATGTAAGAAGAAAACAGAAAAATATGGATAAGACAGTCAGAATCCTTGCAGAAGCCGAATCACATGTAGAAAAATAACCTTAATTTTTAAGTTTGCAAATTGTGTTTTAGAAAATATGTAAATATTATCTGGGATATATAACTCCCACTTCTTGCTTTAAACATTACATCTCACTGTTCTTTTGAAGTCCAATAGTATTCTGATTTATTCTGTTGTTTAGTTTGGTTTGGTTGTTTTGTTTAATTCTGCTAAGGTTTCCTACCTTAACATAGGATTTGCTTTTCAAAGTTCTCAAAAGTGACAGACAATTTTCCTCTTTCTTATTTTACAAAAGATGACCATAAAATCATCTGATGATGTCATCATTTCAGTGTCTCTTCCTCATTCCAAAATTCTATACGTCACTGCAGTTACAGTACAGGAAAGATTTCTCTCTTATCAAAGTCAGTCAGGGTTCACTGATTTAGTCCTTTAGACAGCATTCTGGTTAACAGATAGTCTAGATGTACATTATAAACATACAAAAGCAAGGAGTAAAACCAAGACAAGTTAAATAAATATTTCTTTAGAATCTCTCACCTAAGAAAATCATGGTTTATTCTTATTGAAATAAATAACACTTAACTATTAAAGTATGTGTCTTAATAATTCAAACCAGCATTAGCATTTCTTCAAAGCATGACTTGGCCATTTGTATAAAACACTGTTTGTGACTTTTTTTGTTCTTCAAGTTTTCCATTGTTTAGGTGTGCACTAACTCTTACAAACTACTTGTGATTAAATGTGATAAAGAAACAAACAAAAAATAATTCTCTCATTTCTAGTCATACACTGCATTTTGGACCCGAGCTATTACATCCTGATTACTTCTGTGTCTATGTTCTTAAGTGGAGAGCAGTCAATTAAGTTATTCCCAACCCAAAGATCTTCTGCCCTGCTATGCTCTTCCAGCTGGAAACCAGACAAAACCACCATGTTTTCATGGGACACCAATACAAAGTGAGGCTGCACAGCCAACAGGAATTGCAGATTTACCTGGTAGGTTTCCCAGAATCTCCCTAAACCCATCCCCTGCTCATGAACCTTGGCAATATCAGTAGTGATGACTCTGTGTGTTAGTTATGATACTAATATATATTACCACTTCCACAATAAAATGTTCAACATCATCTTCAGACAAACTGTATATTGAATTATAGAAATGAGATTTTTCTTGATAACACCTGCACAAATGAGAAAAAGATAAACTAAATAGTTCTACTAAGAAAAACAGAAATCCAGGCACTGAAGTCTAACTGTTTTTATTATATCTTGAAGATAAGGATAAATTATTTCTTCATTTATTTCTTTTGGTATGAAATTGCAAGGTAGTTCCTAGCATTTCCTAGACCTTCACCTCCTGGACTTAGAAAAAAAGTGAAAATTTCAAAAATTATGTAATTGGCTCGTGTAAAAGTTGGGATATAAACTTTAGAGAGAGTGAAAAATTTGAAAATATTTTTGATACTCATTGAAAAGACTACACTAATGGTCATATCTTACATATAAAAGCTGTTATTAAATATTTTCATAAGACTGTGATGCTGGTATAATAAAGTAGAATATTAATTTCCGTGTCTTCTCTCTAATTCTGTGATCAACCTGTAAACAGTGGGGACAGGGAATCTTTGAATGATTACATATAATTTTTAATATGTTAGAGTATTTAGCAAAAAAATACAATTACTGTAATAATTTTCACAGATTTAGCCCTCTGAAGGAATAAAATGCCCATTTTCTATGGTGAATTGAATGGAACTCACTTCGCTTTTCACGTGTAATCTCTGCATTTGGCAAGATTTGTAAGACTCGATGAAAATTCCAGAAAGAAAATGGTTTGCAGTTTCTATTGGTACAGGACAGCAGACAAAAGTCTTCAAACTCCATCAGGTGAACTGAAGAATAATTTGTCCTTTCTCATGAGCCTACTAGAAGTGATAGATCCTAATCAAGATCACAACTTTTTTCTCCATGATTTTTTTGCATCACGCACAATGCAGTCACCTGCAAGAGAAATTTCATTAGAGCTTTCTATCAGTTATGCTCTGTCATACAGGCGATACAGGCTTGATTCTTAACATTGTCATCTCTGAAGCACCAACCAGATGCATTGGCATACGATTTGAGAATCAAAACAACAGAGAACAGCACTCCTCTCACTTTATTGCAGAGCTCAGTTCAGCATTTAAACTGTGATCTTCTTTATCTCTGGTATTTAATTAATCTGCAAAAATAATGGGTGTTTTATAGAAGTAAGAAGAAGTCAGAAATAATATCTGTGATTCCGAGAAGGATAGAGAAGAGGGTGGGAAAATGGTTGACATAATAACACGTATATACTTACCCAACCAAATACACACAAATGTTTTTCCTTTATGCTTATTATGAGCAACCAGGAACATCTGATTTTTTTTGATTAGCTGATAAAACTGGATTAATGTATATAAAATTTAAAACAGTCACTGATATTATTTTGTATTACACCAAAGAGGATCAAAGGTTGTCAATGATCCAGTTTCCTACTTGACAATGGTTGTACCTTTTGTTCTTATAGGCCTTTTTCTTATAGGCCTTTACTATTAACCTTTAGGAGTTAATCAAAAACTTCCTGTTTATAAAACCATGTTGACCATAACTGCTTTCACAAGTATTGCTTAGAGAGTAGCTATAATCTTTTATCATAAACCCATTAATCACAGATGGTCCAGATTTAGGCTTCCTGGACAGAATTTTTTGAATTTTCATACAAGTATTGGTCATGGACACAATGTTACTAGCCAGATGGGCAAAGAACACATAGGAATGTGTAAATGCAGTGGTTTTGTATGGACTCTATCCTAGTGCTTAAAAGAAATCACCAATGAAATGCTCTGCTGCGCTTCATAGAAATAGTCAGAGCTAGGAATCACAACTGTAACATTTTACATTCAGGTCCATCTTTGCCCTCTATTAAAATTCCCTTAGAGTAGATATTATTTTTCATGTTGTACATCAAAGGATAATGTCTTACCAAATGTTTCTTGAAGATTATTATAGATCTTTGGGTTTCATCCTGTATTATACTTATCAGACTCCTTGCAGAGTGTGATTCATTGTCACCTATCTACACTATGTCCTCTTTAAATCAGGCCTTCATACTACAATATTCACTTGCAACCTTGACAACTGTGCATCCAATGAGAGATGTTTAGCCCCACAACCTATCAGAATTCCATCTTAAATTTACAGAATAGAAGTATATCATTCAGTAGAGTCTTCATCCTGCATGCTATTACATACTAGAAAGGCCTGAAGAGATTGTGATAAGAACATTATTTACCTGGCACAGGACTCTAAAAACTCTCAGTAAGGGTAGTTAGGAGAGAAAATAGGTGAAAAGACATTCAGAGATGATACATAAGATTCTTTTTTCCTAATTTAAATAATCTTAAAATGCTTCTATTCCGTTCCCAATGCATAAAGTACTTTAATTTGGCAGAACTTCTACTTGGAAGAACACAGTGTCCTGAAGTTGGGTTTTCTAATGCAAAGTCTTCCTTTTAGTTTTCAGCATGCACAGCATACACCATTCCTATACCAATAATCTAAATCCAGAGAATGTATATAAAAAGAAAGCCAAAGGGTGTACATTTCCTATTGGTAAACTGATTTTAAATTAATGTAAACTGGTTATTCTATGGGGAGTCTAATTGTCATGCAAATGATAGTAACTTATAGGGTCCTCTGATTAGTCCTTGTTCTTTCTATTTTTTAAACCAAAATCCTCAGAGTTCTTCCTGTGACTTACTCCATTGACAGCATTTTGATTTGATTTTGCTCCTAGAGACACACCTTTGATTACCTGGCACTGGTATTATAGATAGCTAAACTTTTTTCATATTTGTGCCTAGGAGCCCCAGAACAACTGAACTGGAAATGACTAGCTTGGATATAAAGATGAATTTTCTTCTTGACAGTTAAAAAACAGAACAAAATTTTCAGCTTTGCCAAATAAATTCAGTGATAGCTGAAACTCCTTGCAAAACTTTTCTGGAATTGTGAAATGTATCTTGTGGTATAGTAGAGGTAATTGCAAACACCACTAGATGGAATTATCTCAATCCTGCATTAGAAATCAAACAACTTTGTTTTGCCAGTATGCTGCTTACATAAACTAAAATGAAAACTATGCTGTTCTTCAGTAATGATCCAAAATGGTTTAATTATTCTCTTTAAAGTGATTGTATTTTGGACCATAACGGCAGATTATCATAAGAATTTTAACAAACTTGATGTTTAAAGTCACACTAAAAATGAGCTATATCCAAGTACAGAAAAAAACCAATATTTTATTTATAACCTTAGTTTAGTGTTTGAACTACAAATTCTGGTTCTAGAATTGCTTAAAAGATCATGGGGTTTATAGGTTTTCACAAGTAAATTAATTTTTTGGTTGTTTTTTTTTTTTCTGTTTTTTCCATTTTTTTCACAGAATGGTGCTTTCACTAAATACAGAGCAAATCATTACATGGAAAAAAAAAGGTTTGCTTGTTTGTGTTTTTTTCACTTGCAGAGTTACTCTTATTATTCCATTCTCTGATGAATAATTTCAAAGAGGGCATGAGAAAACAAAAGAAAAAAAGCGAAAGTGACAAAATAGACTGAATCTCACCACTAGAATTCACCATAAAAATTCCCAAAGTGTAACAGAATTCTTACAAAATTTCCTAGATCAGTTCTTTTGGGGAATCAAGATCTCCTATGAAAAATATGGCAAATGGGAGTCAGGGTAGGTTGGGCAGGAAAACGGGAACGAGAAGGGTAAATAACTGCAGCAAAAACAGGTTCTGAGGAATACACATAATTTTGTCTGCTTTAGATCACAATAGAATTTTTAATAAATAAATTTCTTTTTCTTTGTAAAGACACTTTTGAAACAGTAGATTTAGCCCAGTCATTTGTGTAATTTGTTTTATAAACCATCTTTCGTTGTTCCCATCCCCCCGCCCCCCATAATGTCATAAATGTTTCAGATTTGAGTCTCTTGTACATTGTCTTTTGAGTTCATTCGGATCAATAACGGTTCATGCACTGAACTGTGTATTGAATTTATTGTGTTAACTGTTGTTGTGTGGTTGAAAGGAGATTTATAAGAGTTATAGTGATTTAGGTGCTCATGCTCTATTGCTGGCATGGGCAAATGACTCTCTATGGGTGTGTCACCTGTAAGCTCATCATCCACATTAATGATCTCTACAGTCCGTGTTGGAGCATGATGGTTCTGCCGGTGATGCTGCTTCCTCATTTTGTAGAAAATTACCAGCATCACAGCAGCCATGAGAGTGATAGCCACAAAACAACCAATTATGATTTTGGTAGTCTTCATAACCTCATCTATTCCCGGGATCCCATTGTTTGCGTCCGTCACAGGAATGGTGAAAGTTTTTTCTGTAGATCTTGTGCTCTGTGGAGTGAGTGAGGTTGTCATGTTAGTGGTTTCCCAGTTGGTAACTGGCGTGGGCCCAACCTGCTCTGTGGTCTGTGCCTCATCCTGAGAAGGTTCCACAGTCTCTACCGTGACAGTTGAAAAGTATGTGTAACCAGGGTTATCCAGGGCGGTCACATTCAGTGTGGCAGAAGCTGTGGTATTCCCAACAGAGTTACTCACCATGCATGTATACAAACCCGTGTCTTGCAGAGTAACCTTTGTAAAATTTAATGTGCCATCACTGAGCACAGCAATCCGAACTCTGTATGCCCCATGTGTCATAACAGATCCATTTGGAGTAATCCAAGATACAGAGGTCAAGGAGGTTGATGCCCGGCATTTCATCTCTGCAGCCATGCCTTCTGTGACGTTGAGGTCTGCTGGTGGCTCCACTATTACTGGAGCATAACATGTGAAGTAATTCAGGTCCAGCTCACCAATGTACCTTCCTTTTAAACTGGGAGGTGTGTGGCAACGGGCACAGCATGCAGTATTGGAGGGTGCCTTGTCTTTAATCCACCAGCTGAGCCAAAGGATATCACAGTTGCAGTTCCAAGGATTGTGATGCAAGTGGATCCTTTCAAGGCGAAGCGGTGTGAACAGGTCATGAGGCAGTAGCGTTAGATTGTTGTGTGCCAGGTTGATCTCTACAAGTGACTGAAGGTTATCAAAAGCATTCCTTTCTATCACTTGAATCTGGGACTGTATCATCCACAATTTCTGAAGATGCATCAACCCTTGGAAAGAACCTGGCCGGATGGCAGTCAGGTGATTCCCAGAAAGATCTAACTCATCCAATTTTACAAGCGGCGTAAGGTTAGGAATCTCTCGAAGATTGCACATGGCAAGGTTCAAATATCTCAAGTTGGACAGACCTTCAAAGGCACCTTCTGAGATGTATGAAAGCCTTTTCAATTCCCCCAAATCCAGCCTCCGAAGAGAAGGGATTCTGTTAAAAGCGTAAGAAGGGATGCTCTCAATGGGGTTGTTTCTCAACCACAATTCCTTCAGTTTTGACAGGTATACAAAAGCCCCATTTGGGATAGTGGTCAGACGATTGTCAAAGAGTTCCAAAGTATTGAGATTGGCCAGACCATTGAAAGCCCCTATTTCAATTGTTCTGATGTGATTCCTGCTGAGCTGCAGGATTTCTAGGTGCCTCAGATGCTTGAAGCTATTAACCTTAATGATTTGGATCTGGTTCTCATGGAGATTGAGTAACCGGGTGTTGGTGGAGATGCCGTCTGGCACGTCTCTCAGATTTTTCCGGACACAGATCACTTTACTGAACTGGTTGCTGCAGGAGCAGACAGAAGGGCAAGTTTGAGCCCTCACTAGACCAGCCACCACAAGAAGTTGAAGAGCCAACAGCACCACAAGCAGGGGGTCAAATAGGGCCCTGTTAAACCTAGGACCTATCATTATCTGCTGTGGATGTAAGGTCATCTTGTTCAACATTCATAATTTATTTGGTGTTGGTCCTTCTGGAGTTCGAATAGTCTGAAAGAAAGGAAGAAGGGAGAATGAGAACATTAAATTAATCTCAAATACTTAAGTGTGTCCTCTAAACAAAGGCTTCTCAAGTCCTTAGAATGTCTAATATCATTTTTCTGTACATATATGTATATCAACTGCAATTGGCAATAAGATAAGAAAATGCCAGAGACTAGCTTTTCCTGCACATTCCAATGTATAATGTGCATAGCTGGATGGCACATAAGAAGTCCAACCACAGTGGATACCTAAAAGAAAGAGATGAAAGAAATTACAAGGGTCTCAAAAGGCAAAAATTAGTAAGATAGGAATTTAATAAGATAGGAATCTTCAAAATATTCAAGGTGTTAACATTTTTTACACATTATAAGACAAGACATCATATAATATGAAGAGCAAGTGGAGAGCTGTTTGGTATGGGTTAAAAACTTTGTCTATGCAAATGTGATTTTGGAATCAGAGTTTAATTAGAAGTCTCTAATTCTGAATATAGCAGGTCATGCAAATGACAGGGCAAGATCTTGCCTATTACAAATTGAAAAAAAAAGAAAAGAAAAGAAACATGGTGAGCATCAGTTTTTCCCTACTGTTAAACAGCATCATCCAATTTCATAATATTTCCTCCTCAATTCTTTTGTTTGGCACCAGTAGCAGAGAAACACTCATTAGTAAATGTGTACTGAACACAAAAATAAGAATAGCCATTTAAACGCTGAAAAATATCTCTGTGGCTTAAGGGTTGGCAGTTTCACTGGCACTTTGAAAAAACTCTAAAAAAATTATACAGATCTTACTGTAAGGGGAAAACAGACCTTTACACTACAAATGATCATTACCATTTTAAGTACTGATTCATTTGTGGTAGTTTTTAAAGTCCCCAGCCCTCAGTTCATTTTCAATCTGCTGCTCAGTTCAAGATCCCTCTGTTGTCGAGATTAATGAAATTTCCTATAAATCAACCAAAAGTGAAGTCTTATAAATTACAGTAAGCTTAAAGCATATTTATAACCTAGAGTATCCAGATGGATAATACATATATTCAGTAAAACAAAACACCATAAGGCAATGGTTTTCCACTCCAAGATCCAAATAGTTTCATTTTGTGTAAAAAACAAAGCAACAAAAATTAAAAAAAAAAAACACACCAGGAAAAATATATTAACTTTCATCTCACAGCAATTCATTTAATGAAAGAATTTTTTTTCTAATTATATATTAGGACAATGTGTTTTTGAGAATTAATTTCTGCATTTTTATAAAACTTGTCATAGTGGTTCAGAGTTAGAAAGTGTTTTCATCTCACTTTTAATAATTTACTTCAGAGAAAGCCAATATAATGGTTAAAAACCAGTGAAGGGAACTGAGAAGTCTGAGCCATTTCTGTTTGTTTGATATGCTCTACATGTGCTATTTATAAAACGTAATTCTTGTCATGAAAGATTCATGAAACTAACGTGTTTTGCAACCTTGAGCAAGTCATTCAGCTTCTCTCTCTGCAGCTTACACTACTGTCATGTGACACTGGAGAACCCTGTGGCTGCAGCGTTAGATGGTACCACTCCCATCTCTCTATCCCTTCCCTCTGCCAACAACTGTACGTCCGAGCATCAGCTTCATGGGTTTGGGACAATGTACTAGATTAGGTGAGGGGCAGCTGCTGTACACACCTTTGTTTTTACTGTAGGCTTACCAGGTCGTTTATCTCTTCACAGGTACTGAACAGAACATATGGAGAAACACTTTAATCATTAAAATTCAAGTTCGGTTACATCAAAAATCCAGCTGTAGTAAAACTATCCACAAATAGAGGGTGAAAAGCACATAGTTCCCATCCTTCTTACACTGTTATGAAGAAAAATCTGCCCCTTCTGTCCAAAAGAATTATATTAGAATCTAATATCAATTTTAGGGTTGTTAGCTAAGATTTGTGACCCATGGATTTTACTGTTGGATAGTAATTAACCATTTTCTGTGATAGTTAATGTGATTGAATTAGTGTTTTTGTCTTTTTGGGGGGGGAGGGGTGGCTTTGTTTGTTTCCATTTGGGTTTTTTTCAGTAATTTTTTTTTCTATTCTCATTTTTAAAATTCTTCTAAAACTTATCCCCTAAGGACTTGGACTGAATAATGAATTCCATTAACAGGTAATAAAACAGTCACAGAAACACATCAAACCAATTATTTTACCATTGAACTGGTGCAATGTTATGTCAGCTTCAGAGATGCCAGTTGTATAAGACTGGTGTGGCATAGGTAGCACATGCGGCTTGTAGAGGCATGGGAATCTTCTGTGTTCTATCTCAGACCCGTTCACTATTAAAGGCCAGCTCTACAAGATGTCATATGGTTTCTCTACCTTTCTTTTTGTTACTTTCTGCTCTCATTCCAGTATCCTGGATACCCTGAAGGACCAGGAAAACTATAGCACTTGTAGAACAAGAAAGTATAGAGAAATAAGAAAGGTCATGAGAGAGCAAGCCCCCAACATCAGATCATGCGTAAAGTTCCTTCAATTGCTCTTTGCTAACCTCCATGAAGCTGATGATCCCAAACTATGCTGCAAGCACTCCGAGGCACTTTCCTCCCATTCTAACTCCTTGAGCCTAATGGTATTACCCCATTGCCTTTACCTAGTCTTTTATCCAGTAAATCTTCCATTTTCATCACTACACATACTCTCATTGGGTGTAAAAAGAAAAAAAAAATTAAAAAAGCTAAGACCATTTTACTTGAATACAGTACTTCATCATAACATATAAATTATTCAGTTATGAGACTGACTAGCAAATATTGCTCAACCTAAACCAAAATGTTTCCATGTCTCAATTGCAAAAACATTTTTGAAAGAAATGCTTTTGTTTTATGTTCTTAAAATAAATTCCCTATATCCTTTCTATCTTTGGTTATTGACTCAAACAATGAATCATTCACATAAAACAGCTCTTTCCGTATGCTGAAGGCAAAAATTGCCCATGGCTTTTACATTTACTGATTTCCCTAGTCATGTGCTAGTGATGTCTCAATCAAACATGTGCCTCAGTACTACAATCTATCAAAGACCTCCGGGGAAGTCTGACACCATCGGGTTTCTGCAAGATTCAAATTCAAATACAAGCTTGGTTACTCACTAATTGTTAGCTTCTCTGAAGAAGACAGGATCACCATTTTGTGAGATGGGGATACAAAGTTCGAGATATGTTTTCATATATGTTGGTATGTTTGATCTTTCTGTGTCTAAGCTGGATCTTTTTTAATATATAAGTACAGAAGATCTATATTGTCACCCCTCTGCAATATTCAGGGAGGCAGTGGGAGCAAATCTTAGCTTTTGTAGCCACCATTTGATTTAACATTGGATTTATTTACACAACTCAACTTTTTTCCCTCTGTGTTGGCAATATAGGAAACAAAATGCAGTTTTTAGCATAAGACCACACTTGGTCTTGAACTTGGTTCTGCTGAAGTACAGGGCAGCTGATGATCCAAAAAAGCAATTATGACCAGCAGAAAATATGCTAGGCAAGCATATGCCTTGCAAGTCCTCCCTTCCAACTAGTGAGCTTTGCATGAGGCTAATACTGCAGTGGCAGTGGAATGTATTAAAAAGGTCCTTTCTTTTATACTAGTGGTCTTCCACAGCTCAGAACTTAAATATTCAGGAAGTCTTGGTGCAGGTATTTCACATCAGGGTAATTTTAAATCATAAATACCTTGGAAATACCCTGGAAAAAAATTATCCAACACAAAAACACATTCTAAAATTAATTTAAACCCTTGAAGAACATTATGGAAATATTTTAATGGGCTTTACGTAAAGATCCATCTGGAACTCTGTACTAGAGTAATTTGCTATTCAATACCTATTATGCCAGAGACACATGAAGATTTAGCTTAACAAACCCACACATGGAACATAGACCATCAACCAGCTTTAGTCTTTGTTGACAACTCTTTGTCTTCTAAGTAATTTTTTTTTTTTTTTTCATTTTTCTGGTACCAAAATAGTAACTTCATGGTCAATACAGCAACACTAGTGCCCTCTGCTGTATAGACTTAAAATGTAGTTTAAAATGCTAAGAATTTCCTTAATACACAGTGAGTTGCCCAGACACAGTACAATTATCAAATGTGTTTCCAAACATGACCTTAAGCCTATCTGTGGCACTATTCTAATTATCATCTGTTATTTTAATACAGGAATGTATATTCTCTTTATGGCCTTGGAGACATTCCTAGACATATATGGAGAGTTGTTTGGTTTGGTTTCTATTTCCACAGGAAAAAAAAATAATCTTTCTGAAATTGGCATTTGATATGCATGTTCTCCTCTCTGTTGCTTATCTGACACTTTGTTAGTCTTGATGTACTACACATTTTCCTCTGAGCAAAAAGCATTACCCTCTTAAGATCCAATGCAGAAGATGAAGCAAGGAATGACAGAGCTAATCTACCTCTACAGACATGCACAGTGCAGCTTTCCTTAGGGGCAGCTTGAAGGATGCGGTAGTTATGCTGCTGAAATCTAACTTTGCCACTTTGCCAGAAATGTCTTCTTATGTGCATTGTAATAGTATCCCAAATTAATTTTTCTTTCCTTTTTCTTTTTGGTAATTAGGTCTTGAGACTGATGTGCTTTCTTCTCCCTTTGTTATATTACCAGGAGAAAGTGATTATGATTATTCTGATCACTGAAGGATTTTCCTGTAATGGTGGGCTTTGATTACAAAAAAAGAACTTCTACACCATTTCCAAAGATCTGCCTAATGAGGTGGCAAAGATATTTCCCCAAGCTCCAGTGACCCTTAGCTGGATCACTGGCAGTTTAGTTGCTCTTGGCAACTCATACTTAGCTTTCCATCTAGTCTGTGGGTCTATGAATAACTATCTCAGCAGCAGAGCTGTGCAGCACAAAGGCCATGGCTTTATCCCAATACATGGTTTAAGATACAGTGTGATCTAGCACATTTTGGTTTGTGCTGTATATCTGCCATGAAATCCTGAGATGTGATGCTAGGTGTCACTGACTATGTAGACAAATTTATCAGATATCAGGTGTTTAAACTATCTCAGTAAAATTAAATCATCACAAGTACATCAGAGTTAAGTCTCAACTGAAGCACAGTTAAGTAATCAAAACTCTCCCTCAGCCATGTCCCAGAAAATTTCAGGATGAGGAGCATTCAAATCCCTTTCAAGTTGACAAATACGTGAATGCATTCAGAAAATGCATTTTTCCTTCACTTTATATAGCATTGTTATGTATGCTGTACATCACACCTTTTTTGAGAGAAAAACCCTTTGCAATGATATCTGCATTTTATTCAGAAAACAAGCCACTCTACAGTTGCAAATTAAACTGCAGACTTCAAACATGTGAAGAGGAGCTAGGTGTGTCAAGCAGCTAATTATTCAGGGATGTCTCTTCTGGTAGCATCAGCACCAGAGAATTGAAAATAGTTTCTGTATGGACAGAACATGGAATACAGCAATAAAAATAAGTCCAAATCCCAGGAAGACCTTATGCAGAAGTGACTCTTTTGACTCTCTTTTCGGGAGCTCTGAATGCTCTCAGAGCCTGAGACTGATCCCCTTTTGGCAGCAATGTCAGCAGAGGAAGCCAAAGGAATTTCAGCGTAGATACAAACCGACAAGCACACGATACGCTTTAGCTTCACAAAATACTGAAACACATGAGGGTTAATCCTCGTCCCAGAACAGAGACTGAACTGTGGGCAGGCAGCTCCACTGGGGTCAGAAATCCTCTACCAACATCTGCTCTGCAAATGGTCCTGCAGCCTCACATGTGTGTCCCCAGGTGGCTGTAAAGAGTTGGGCTGATGGAACCACACTGCTAGGGATTCACTCACCATACCCTTCCGCCTACCTCACCTCCCCCGCTTTTCTGTCCTGAAATACCTTTCCACCTGGCTGAACCCCCGAGGACTAGAGCTTTCAGTTCAAGAGCAGTACAAACACTTTGCATGCTGTTCCCTGCCCCTATACAGTACAATGACACCCTTCTCTTTCTCCACTGAATGCCTTTGCCACTAACAAAGGAAGACATATTATGTTCTAAACAGAGCATTGAAATAATCATCATGCAAAATCAGTGAACTGGTTTACAGTAGATCTCATATCTTCCTCTTCCTAATCTTACTTTTCATTTTCCTCATGGACTGACTCCTGTCTGAAGTGTTTGGGGTTTTTTAAACAGATTGTTTTACAATGAAAACCCATGACTGCAACTATATAGCTGTGTATCTTTTCCTTCATTCTTAAAAATCACTTTTCCCTTTTCAGTGCTATAGGATTTTAAATGTCTCTACAACAGTTAAGGGAGCCATTGCAATAATGTCTAAAACCTGGGATGTTTTAAAGCCTAGCAGTTTTTATCTATTTGCTTTTTATTTTATTTTTAGTTAAATATGGTCGAGGCCAAAGAGGGCTAGATAGACAGTCCTGCAATGCAAACTGATTACTTGTGAGACCAGACAAATCAAAACACTCCCAATGCAAATTATTCTCCTCTTTACATCTTTCACTGTTTTGCTCTGGGACGTAGTTGGGACTTTTTGTGGCCCGTTCAAGCATGTAAGTGTAGGAGGCAAAGTGGGTATTGCTGTACCCCAGATACCTCCCAGTTCTCTTCTGCAAGCCTTTCAAGACTCAGCTGAATCACTAAGACACATACCTGAAAGACTTAAATGTGATTGGACACATTCAATCCTCCTAAATCACCACTGATTTCAGGGGAGTTCAATCAAGGATGAGTTTGACCCAGTCTGCCTTTTTTTTCTTTTCTTTCATTTTGTTATACAGAAAACGGCTTTATTTCACATGCCTCATTTTCCAGTAGGATTTCATGTTTCCTCTCTCATGTTCTTCTAAGGTTTAAAACTTTCGCTTTAACTTCAGGTAACAGAAATGAACATGAAATAAATATTTTAAAAAGGAGAATTTGAGTGTACATTGGTCCAAGAAAAAATATTTGCATTTTAGCTGGAAATTAAGATAATTTACAGTGTTTGAATCTGTATCAGTCTCTTATTTCCCCTCTATTTATAAATATTATTTTACTCTTAAGCATCATTTGCAGTTTCTATCCTCAGTATAACTCATAATATTTGCTAATTTCATAGGAAAACCATAGAAAATATCAGATGATTTGTAATGAATATTTCTTTAGGAAGATTTAGTTTTATTAAGAGGACTTATTTGACTTCTTTATTGTCCTTTTCCTGGATGTCACTCAAAGGGCAAAGAGGACAAAACAGACCTAACTTATCTGTTCAGACTACTCACAGTGGTACGAATAGGAGCAACCTATGAATTATTCATGATGAACTAACTTAAATTCTTTCATAAAAGCCACAACAATACAGCTTGGTACTAGTGCACCTAGAAACGTTCTAGAATTTTTATTGGAATTAACTTTTAAGTGGGTTAATTATATTACATTAAATCTTTGTGTGGACATTCTTATTTCAAATTTAATTTAAGCTAAATTGAATCAAGGCCACTGTAATTTCAATTAAGAATGTTCAGAAAAGGATGTAATGTAGTTTAGTTAGTCCCTTTTCAAAGTTAATTTAGGTTCATTTTCTTGAGACCCCATGTAGACATTAGGAACTTTTGTTCTATATTGACTTGGGCTTGATTCAAACCAATTATGTAAAGGTAAAAAGGTTTTCTACCTCATCACTGATCCCCTGGGTTACTCAAGTTCCATTTTGCTTCATTAATTCAGTTGATAAAACAGCTTCTCAGAAGTTTTGTTGTTTTTTTTCATCTTATATATTTTTCTGGAGAGATATTTATATAGGGAGAAACAGATATCTGGACAGTAGGAATTTTACAATAGCCTTATAAGAAAATTCTCTGAATTACAGATGCATGCCACTACATCTCATGTGCCAACCATGATATAAGGGGAAGTCATACGAGAACCTTCAGAATTTCTCTATCTTATGCCACAAACACCTCAGTGAGGAACAAATAAACTGCACTATTTCTATAACTATGCTTTTTAAATTCTTTTTTCATTTATTATCAAAGTAAAATCACAGATCCACATTAGGAAGGCACCTATGAACCACAACAAAATTAGTATAAAACCAACCTTTAATAAAAAGTTTTATGCTGTTCTAAAGCACTGCTCCAAAACAATTTTCAGTGCAATTTTCAATCCTGTCACACTGGGTCATTTTTTGAAACATTAGTATTTCTTTGTTTTTAGTAGACTAGCAGTGATTTAACAACATCTTCTTAGACATAACACAGTGATACCTCAACTCAAACAAACTAGTTTTGGTCTGGTAGAATATTTCAATTTTTATACATGAAAAAATTAAATTATATAAATTAACATACTTTTCAACAACATAATACAGCATTTCAAAGTGGTAGGCAAAAATCTGCAATTTAAGTGTATGAAACATTAAAATTTGTGTCTTTCAAAAGATGGAAAGGCAAAAATGTGCAAGGCTGATGGAATCCAAGATGTTAGCCCTCGTTCCTTCCGGAATTTTCTCCCTACTCACAGACTATAAAAACAGATGTGGGAAATGTTGGGTCAGAACACCAGTCTAAGAATATACAGATGTAGTCAGTACAATGAAGAGAAACAATAACAACAAAAAAGGCAATTAGAGTAAGAAAGTTGCCATTAAGAAAGTTGGAATCTAGTTTTTAAAGTACAAAACATAATTTCCTAAATTACAATATTTGCTCATCTATTGAATGTGCTAATGCTAAATATTCTTGTTACCCATACACATCATGCTTTGAGCCTTCCTGAGCTCTTAACCTCAGCAGATAACATAAACTAGAAGACATAAATATTTTAGTTTGATGAGCACTTAATACAGTTGTGGATCAGTAGCAGTTTTCTATACTTTTCTACACTTTGGCAACACAGATGCTCTGGTAAAATCTGAAGTTATTTTAAAATATTTGAAGGTTATTTTCATATTAGCAAATTGGAGAATTGTCCATTTCAGAGGCATAAAAAATCAAGTTTGTCCCTTAACAAATGCAGTTTTTCCAAATGCATTTTTTAGTATGCAAAACAGAGATTAAAGGAAATTATAGTAAAGCAGCCATGTAAAATCTGCATCAATGCTTTTTGGGATATGAATTAAAATAGATATTTGTCTAAATACTTCTATGGTATGATACTGTGCCAAGAAAGGTGTTTTCCTGTTTTCCTTTTTTTTAGGATCTGAATTATTTGATGCTGAGTTGGAAAAATGCTTGGTAGTTATTTCATAACCTTGGTAACTATAGTCTGTATTGTTAGTATGTATTATTTCAAAATACCTTCTGGGGGAAACATATCCAACTAATAACACACTAAAGCACCAGAGTCCATTTTGCATCATTGCATTTGTAGTGGCTAACTGAGTCCAAATTACTCCCTCATTCTGCTAATAAATAAAGCAAGAAAGAGAAAAAGAATCATGCGTTAAAAAGTTAAGGCTGCAAATAGCCTCGAGTCTGGTAAATGATGGTTAAACTTCTTGTCCTTGGTAGCTATGGAAACCCCTTAAGGTAAGAGTGGAACACAGGCACTTTGTGGTCTGCGATTTACAAGCTGTTTATTTAATTATGAAGGAATATGAAACTGTTAGGGGCAATGCAATTATCCTACTGTGATAGTGTTTTGAAAGAAAAATAGGTACAGAGAAATATAAGAACTTAATTTTTTTGAAAATTACTTGTTTTAGGACTTCTATGAAACTGCAATACATTGTTTTTTACTGAAATCTGTGATTATTTTTTTCCCCCAAAGGGTATGAGGAGCCAAAATTAGTAATATGACATTTTGCCATAATATCCCTCAGTAGATTCATAGTAATTATGTCCATTCTATGCTTCATGAACAAAACCAAGGTCAGGGTGTGTTTCAATTAAACCCTAGGTGTTACCAAAGTGCAGTACAGCCAGAATAGCATGCACATTATTACCAGATCTATCACTGCTGGGCAATGAGTTGGTCACAGGTGCTCTTGTGTACAGTATTTGTACACCTTTAAATATTACTAGTGGGAGAATGTTTCAATTCAATTTAGGAGGCAGCTAGTGAAATAAAATTAAGAGTGAAACTATGTGATGACTCAGGGGGACTATAGCATCTTCTTACAAGTATTTTCCCGGATCTGAACAACAAACTTTGACCTGATAGTTCTGTTGTTCGGATTTGCATGAACGTAGTGGCCTCAGGGCCCTTTGCATACAGTGAGAGCTTTTGGCAACAATCCATCCTTCATTTGATTGCCTTAATAAGATGTGAGGTATAAACACATCCTCACAGGTCATCTGTAAAAGAGACAGGTAATATTATTCTTGTTTATGGCTGAAGAAACTGAGGCAATAATGGATTAAATCAATTGCCAAAACTCAGCACGTCTCTACATGATACTTGGGAAACGTGAGCTTCACATTCCATGCTGACTAAATACAATGTGTGTTGCTCCAAATGATAGCCATATAGCAAACATCAACTTGTTGCTGACCTCAAGATAATGTGTCTTAGTGCACTGTTTCAGTCTGGCCCTAAGAGTACAAAGACTGAGTCTGCTTCAATGCAAAGTGTGGATGAATCTTGTTCCAGCAAACCACAAGAGTCGAAGTGGATGTGCTATAGGGAATGGTGTCAGCAGTAGAGGCAGAACAGGGGCCCAGACATACCAAAACACATTTCCAACAGAATGCAGATTTAATCTATGTGTTAAAGGGTGTGATTAACATGTCATGATATTTAAAAATAAATTTTATTAAATATTAAAAAATGCTCTGTCCTATTCTAAAGATTGCTGTATTATTCTTCTTATCAAAGTATTTGTACACATTCCAGAAATGCGTTAAAAATCCTGAATTTGTCATTTCATGTACATATTCTTTCTCTCATTCCTTCCCCTTTCTACATTCTTTCATATACTGTTTTGGTTCTGAGGCATTAACAAGCATTTGCCACAAGCTGTTGACACTATAGATGGCAAGTCTGAAGAAGTACATTGAGAGGTTGAAATTAGAATTTATAATGCTTGCTATGGTATTCCTCCTCAGAAATCACTGGATGTCTCTTCTACCCATAGAACAGATCACAGACATTGAAGTGGATCGCCTCAGCCCAGTCCGATCCTTGCTACATTGATAATGGGTAGACACTCCTAGGGACCTACTATAATCTTTTCCTTGTGAACTGTTCTCAAAACTTCCTCTTGGACAGGCTCTCCAATATATGTGCAATGCTCTTCTGATCCTTGGCCACAGAAAAGCTTTTGTATAACCCTCATGTCAGACAGGTCTCAGCAAACCTTAAACTGCTTTTTAAATATAAATGTTTAAAAAGACCTGAAAGAAAATTCCTTCCGTAGGAATGTACAAGTGGCAAAACGTGACATTTCACATTCATTATCTTTTGGGGCCATCCAACTAAGATTTAAATAGCTTGAAAAAGAACAGCAGTTCATCTTCAGGGAACTAGCTTCACTAGCTGGAGAAGGAAAGGGAAGAGTGTAATAGCTAAGAGATTTATAACTGGTTTTTATGCAAGTAGGTAAAGTATCTTCTGGTGTCACTGCACCACTCTAGGACAACATAGAACCACAGAATCATAGAAGTGTTTCAGTTGTAAAAGACCACTAACAACATTAAGTCCAACTGGTAATCTGACACTGCCAACTATCCAGCTAAACCATGTCCCTAAGTGCCATATCTACACGTCTTTTAAATACCTCCAGGGATGATAACTCAATCATTTCCCTGGGCAGCCTGTTCCAAACCTTGAGCACCCTCTCAGTGAAGAAATTTTTTTTGATATCCAATCTAAACCTCCCCATGTGCAACTTGAGTCCATTTCCTCTTGTCCTATTGGTAATTGCCTGGGAGAAGAGGCTGATCCCCACCTCACTACAATCTCCTTTCAGGTAGGTATAGAGATAAGGCCTTCCCTGAGCCTCCTTTTCTCCAGGCTAAATAACCCCAGCTCCCTCATATGTTCCTCATATGGCTTATGTTCCATCCCCTTCACCAGTCTCATTGCCCTTCTCTGGACTCACTACAATGTCTTTCTTGGGCCCAAGACTGAACACAGGGTTCAAGGTGCAGCCTCACCAGAGCTGAGTACAGGCAGGACGATCACTTCCCTGGTCCTGTTAGCCTGGCTATTTCTGATACAGGCCAGGATGCCATTGGCCTTCTTGGTCACATGGGCACACTGTTGGCTCATGTTCATCTGACTGTCAACAAGCAATCCAGGTCATTTTCCACCAGGCAATTTTCCAGCCATTCTTCCCCAAGCTTGTAGCGTTGCCTGGGGTTGTTATGACCCAAGAGCAGGACCTGGCACTTCACCTTGTTGAAGCTCATACTGTTGGCCTCAGCCCATGGACCCAGATTATCCAGATCCCTCTGCAGAGCCTTCCTACCTTCCAGCAGATCAACACTCCCACCTAACTTGGTGTCATCTGCGAACCGAGGGTGCGCTTGATCACCTTATTCAGATTCAATGATCCAGCAAAGATATCAAACAGGACTGGTCCAGCACCGAGTCCTGGGGGCACCACCTGTGACCGGCCGCCGGCTGAATGAAACTCCGTTCACCACCACTCTCTGGGCCCAGCCATTCGGCCAGGTTTTTACCCAACGAAGAGTACATACATCCAAGCCATGGGAAAGTGCTGTGGGAGACAATGTCAAAGGCTTTACTAAAATCCAGGTAGACAGCATCCACAGCCTTTCTCTCATCCACTAAGTGGGTCACCTTGCCATAGAAAGAGACTAGGCTGGTCAAGCAGGACCAGCCATTCATGAACCCATGCTGGCTGGGCCTGATCCTCTGCTTGTCCTGCACGTGCTGTGCAATGGTACTCAAGATAATCTGCTCCATGACCTTCCCTGAAATGAGATCAGCCTGATATGAGCTCTTCAAATCTCATTTGCAGTTTCTCTCAATGTCGGTTCTTCTGCAACAAACATGTTTCTGACCTAGTAAAGGATGGATGTTGTTTTCATGGATCACAGTACTGTTGAAAGATAGCATGTTCCAAAAACAGTTTCACTCTAAAATGACTAATTACTAATGTTTTAACGACTAGATTCTAATAATAAGTTCATTAATTCCCAAATGTCTTAGTATAAAGCATAGTCATAGGGTCACACATACATATAAGACGACATTTGGATTTTACCTTAATAAACATCCTTTCCCTTTTCGTGCGTAGTCAAGCTCTGGAAGCAAAATTAAAGAGATAGAACTAGGTACAATTTTATAACTGTGCTGACTTCTTTAATGTGGCAAACAAAAACAATTATGCATTTTTATTTTTACCTGTTTTCATTTTATTAAAATGTTAAATTAATTCTGAAGCAACTAAAGTAACTGAATACTGGAGCATTCTTTTTCTATGTGTGCTGAAATGTGACACTAGCGCAATCCCATATCATCCATCCCAATGTGTTTTCCTGAGGTATCCAAAACATAGTACAAATCTTTGCAGAATATATCAACTGATTCAGGTACTGATAATGTAGATCAGCCTGGAAGAGTCATTGTTAATAAAGAAAGTTTGGAAAGTAGCTTTGTGAAAATCAAAGCTTTAAAGGAATTTGTGGAAACAATGGCCAATTATGTGAGTTATTCTCTTTCTGTCCAGACCATCTATAAATCAAAGAATCATAAACTATAGGGATAGGATAGATGTTATCTCTCTGAAACTTTACCCTGCAATAACTCTTATAGAGAAAAATAATAGATTACTTTACATTTTCACATAGACATGGGTTTAGTCATGATAAATATACATTTATTTGATGGAATGTCTTCTCTACGTAGGCTGCCTATAGCCTGCTTGTTGAAATCACTGGCCAAATTCAAAGCACTATTGCATCAAATTGAAATTCATGAAAGCTAGTACATACTTCTTTAGTAAATGATCATTTTCACTGAAGTATTATTTATCTACTTCAAGTTACCAACAGGATACAATGCCCAGTATCAGCCTGCTTGTTCAGCTCTTCAGACTCTTAAGTGCTGATACAGTATTCTGTGTTCATAAGCCCACCATTAGACTTGCATTTGTAACTAGAGAAAATCATAGGTAAAAATTTACTCCTACAGAAACCAATGGGAATTTTGCCTTTGATTTCAGTGGAGTCAGGACTCCATGTCATATATCAATAAGAATTTGCTGTATAGAGCCAGTTGCAGATTATTGCTGATGTAAGCACTAGGGCTTTGATGCCATTCTTTTAGGACAGTTTTCAGGGAGACGGAAATGTAATTTTCATTTATTTGAAACTGTCAGAGAACATAAAAGGAAAAAATAGTAACTGAGACAGCTAAAAGAGAGTTCGTATATATGAAAGTGGGCTATATTAAAAAAAAGTAATATAATATTTTAAAATGTCAATATGTTATCATGGATTCTTAAAAGATTCCCAGAAAGTACACAACTATTTTAAAAATGTATAGCAAGAATGAATTCAGGGTTCAAAACAAATTTGAAAATTATCTGTCCAAAGTAGAATAAATTTGATATTTGATGTTATTCAAGGATATAAACATGGCTGCTTGCAGTAAAGCTTTCCATTACTATGTTGGCCTGCATAGCAATACAAACATTTATCACAGATAACAGAGATACCACCAGGGTGTCCAACATCTGCCGTTGGGAAATGTTGTTTTCAGTTTCTTACAGCTTTGTAAAATTTTAACCATTTGCAGATTAAATGTTCCATATTAGGTATATACCTACAGTATAGTCACTGAAAGTTGTGTAGACACTCAAAACAGATTTAAAGCAGCTGTCATACCTTATGGTAAAAAATAACTTCAAGAAAAGGAGAACTTTACTGGTAAAGGCTCAAGTACTGAATTCAGGTAATTTTTTTCATTCTGTACATTGAAAGACACAGAGTTAACTATAAGAAAAGTATGATCTGTTAAGTTAAAGATAGTAATAAAACACAACACAGCCAATGAAGCTTTCATTCAAACACATGCATTTCTGCATGCATAGGTATACATAATACACTTAAATACAGATCAGCTATTTAAAAAAAGCTATTTTTTTGTTTCCTATCAAGAAAATACTTTCTGAATTTTTGAATTCTAACTATTGCTCTAGTCTGAGAACATGAAAAATATGACAAAATTGTTGAATGACAAAAGTGCTAATGTGTCTAGTTATCTCTGGCTGAGAACTGTTTCCTGGATTGCTTTTTGTACTCTCTACTCCAGAAAGATGCACGTGGATAAGTATATGAAATATTTTCAAGGACTCATTAGCAGGCACCCATGTGCAGTTGAAGTGGGCATTGATAGGGCAGTCATTCCATAAAGTATGCATCTGAAGAATTTTGGCATCATCAGGTACCCTCTTACCAGAGTATTTCACATCAGTTGCATGTGATTGTGAGCTGCTAAGAACAATGATAAATGTAAGTGCTAATGCTGCATTTAAATATCAATGCTATATAGCATGTACATCCCCAGCACTGTGTTGCCTTGCAGACCCGTATCACATAGTGGACTTTTTAGCCTGGAAGATTACACAATTAATTGTAGAGTGGATTTTGCTATTTACCCATAGGCAAATACAGTTATTTGCCTATTTCTAGCTGTATCCACTTATGCAAGCATGCCTAATGGCAGCTATTGCCAAGTAACTGTCTGTCAATGACTGCCCTTGGTCTGTAAGAATGCTTTTAAAACCTGGGTTCAAGCATCTTGGGAAAAAACACCTTAATTTCTTTATTCATATTGCTGTTCATAAGCTCAATACTTAAGAAAGCTCAGGAAGTGACAAGATGTAATCACAGCAATTAGAACCAGCAAAGACAATGGGGAGTTTTGTTTCACATTCTTCACATAGAAACATAGAGATTTCCTTCACTAGACCTGATTTCTGAACTGGGATCTAAATCTCAGAAGGATTTCATGAAAGACAGGAGAGCTGCTGCGTATCAGAGATAAGGAACATGCACAGATTTAAGAACTTCCTCTAACACTGCAGCTATCACTACCTGGGAGGGGATGATGAAAAAAACATTTTTTTTTTTTTGTATAGATGAAAAGAAAATACTATACATAACACATTCTTGTGGCTTCTTTTCTTTAGTTTTTTTTCCTTTCCAGCAGTGTGAAGGCAATGTTTTTCTCTGTAATTCTAAGAAATTGTCTGAATTTAGTCTAATTCTCAGATGGGACAAACTGGCATTGTTCCATTCAAGTAAATGAAATCAAATTATTATTATTCCAGTTGAAGTCTGTGATCCTTGTTACCCTCTAAACTACACTGAACCATTCTTCAAGAATAAGGTCTCTGGGGAGACCTTTGAACGGCTTTCCAGCACCTAAAGGGGGCATACAAGAAAGCTGGAGAGGGACTTTTTATAAGGGCATGTAGTGATAGGACAAGAGAAAATGGCTTTAAATTGAAAGAAAGCAGGTTTAGATCAGATATTAGAAAGAAGTTCTTTACTGTGAGGATGGTGAGATAGTGGACAAGTTTCCCAGAGAAGTTCTGGATGCCCCATCCCCAGAGGTGTTCAAGGCAGGATTGGATGGGGCTTTGAGTGACCTGGTCTAGTGGAAGGTGTTTCTGCCCATGGCAGGGGGGTTGGGCTGGATGATCTTTATTGTCCCTTCCAACCCAAACCATTCTATGATTTTATGGTTTTATGAATATCAGGAGGTTCAGGCATCCAACTGCTATGAAAATGCA